GGATTGCAGGAGTGATGTGGGGGTGACTGAGTGGAAGGGGGTGGAGGATTGGGGGACTAGTCTAGCTCCCAGGGGAGAACAAGTGGCTCTGCACAGCCCTGCACTTGCAGGCACCCTCCCCATGCTCCCATTGGCCATGACTCCCATGCAATGAACGTGGCAGAGGTGGAACCTGCAGCGGGGTGTCAGGAGGGAACAGCAGTGTGCAGAGCCCCTCGTCCACCCCACCCCGCCCAGGCTGTGCTGCAGCATGCTGGGCCGTTAGTGGCTGCATCCCAAGACCCAGGCTTTAGCCTTAAAGCCTCTTTCATAATCCAGCCCTGAGGGAAGAGGCTGGGAACTTACAATGTGCTTTAGTGGCTTGATCCCTGATTTCTGTCTTCTGACAGGCCGGTGCCCGGTGCCCCAGAGGGAAGGAACAGAAGAGGGAATCATCAAGCGATCCCTCCCCTGTCACCCATTCCCAGCTTCTGACAAACAGAGTCTAGGGACACCATTCCTGCCCATCCTGGCTAGTAGCCATTGACGGCCCTGTCCTCCATGAGCTTATCGAACGCTTTATTGAACCCTCATCTCTTTTCTAAAGAGTCCTGGATTTATTGATCTCTTTCCTCATATAGAAGCTGCTTCATACCCCTGATAATTTGTGTTGCCCTTTTCGGTACATTTTTCCAATTCCAATATATCTTTTTTGAGATGGAGCACCTAAATCTGCATGCAGATGTGCACATCCCATGGAGTTCTAGAGAAGCACTCGGATTCCCAATATTCTCTTCCCTGTGCTGATTGCCGCTGCACACTGAGGCTGTGTCTAGACTACGTGCCTCTGTCGGCAGAGGCATGTAGATTAGACACATAGGCAAAGGCAAATGAAGCCGCGAGTTAAATGATCGCGGCTTCATTTAAATTTACATGGCTGCTGCACTGAGCCGACAAACAACTGATCAGCTGTTTGTCCGCTCAGCGCGCTAGTCTGGACGCTCCCCTGCCGACATCAAAGCCCTTTGTTGGCAGCCCCGTTATTCCTCGTGGAATGAGGTTTACCGGGGCTGCCGACAAAGGGCTTTGATGTCGGCAGGGGAGTGTCCAGACTAGTGCGCTGAGCGGACAAACAGGTGAT